TTGTAGATGCAATTTTGTATTCTTTTAAAATCAGTATTTCACTCATGGATATTTTTCTGTGATGTCACTAATTATAATTTTTATTGCATGTAATCCCATCTAATTACATACCATAATTTATTTAACCATTTACCCACTGGATAATTTAAATGAGATTCTAGTTTCTTTTTTTTAGATAACTTTTATTTAATAATATAAATTTTGAAAGTACAACTTTTGGATTATAGAGGTTTCCCCCCCATAACCACCCTCTCACCCGCAAACCATCCCATCTCCTGCTCCCTCTCCCATCCCACCCTTCATTAAGATTCATTTTAAACTATCTTTATATATAGAAGATCAACTTAGTATATACTAAGTAAAGATTTCAACAGTTTGCACCCACACAGACACACAGAGTATAGAGTACTGTTTGAGTACTAGTTTTATCGTTAATTCTCATAGTACAACACATTAAGGACAGAGATCCTACATGAGGAGAAAGCGCACAGTGACTCCTGTTGTTGATTTAACAATTGACACTCTTATTTATGAAGTCAGTGATCACCCAAGGCTCTTGTCATGAGCTGCCAAGGCTGTGGAAGCCTCTTGAGTTCACAATTTCCGACCTTATTTAGACAAGGCCATAATCAAAGTGGAAGTTCTCTCCTCCCTTCAGAGAAAAGTACCTCCTTCTTTGATGGAGGGCCATTCCTAAATGTAAGCAGATGCCACATTATGATCCAGAATGGACGATTTCTTGCTGTTTTTCTATTAAGATATAAAAACACCGTTGTGAAATTCATACAGACTCATCATAACTGTCCAGTTTTTTCATCAGTTATCAAATTATATAGTGACTTACTGAACAGGCAGGAGTGTGCTTGTTGTGTGTCATTTTAGAACAATGATCAACAATGATGAATTACTTGAACTATGTATTATTATTATTATTTTTTTTTACCAGCAAGCACTTGAAAGAACGCAAACACAATCTTCAAGAACACAAACACAATCTTGGTTTCTCTACTCCTTCTAGCCATGGGAAGTTAACATGTTCACAGCCACGTGATCACTAGCATCACAGAAAGCAGAGCCTGAAATAATACCTTTTTGTATCTCTGGGATCTTTTTCTGTTGGGATGTCTAACACCACTTTCCATTCTAAAGCAGGGTCAGCTGAAAGGGATCAGGATGGAGTCTGGGTTGATTTTGTTAGTTTGGGAGAAGTTCCTTCGCCTCCAGGAGCCATAGTGTCAATGTCTCTGTCTCTGAGACACTGGAATGACTGCTCTTCTGTGAGGTTAAAGGAGAAGGCTTCACAAGCAGGGGCTGAGCTGTGCCGACTGCCTCTCTCTGGGAGAGGCTGTGGAAGTTCAGGAGACTGGCTCTTTCTCCAGGTCTTCCCGGCTCCTCAGTTGATTGCTCTCTCATTGTAGAGCAAGAAGCACCTCTGCCAGCAGTTCCAATGCCCCACCAAGCAGGGGTCTTTCAACAGTAGCATCGGCCATGTTATAGTATTTTTTCAACCATTTTGATCAAACTACCAGCTTCATGTTCAGAGCCTCCTGGATTGACAATGAGAAGTTTTCGTGAATGGCTGATGGCTCAAATGTTTTAACTGAAATCATGGCAACATGAGAGGCCTCACAGATTTTTCAGGTCCTACTTAATTATTCAAAATTTAAAATCTGTTGTTCTTTTGTTGAATAATTTTTACTAGTATCAGTTCTCTTTGAAGCCAAGTTTACATAAAAATTTAATTTATTAATCATTTTGTTTTTTTATGCATATTTTAAATCAGTTACTGTTGTAGGACTTTTTTGCTGTAACTTCTTTAATTATTCTGAAAATGTTACAACTCACAAAAAGCTCATAAACTCCTAAATTCATTAAGTATCATAATTGTTCTGCCCCCTTACACATTTCTCTCTCCTCAAGTCTTTGAAAATAGGATGCATAATCATGATACTTGGAAATTTTATTTTTCAAAGATTTATTTATTTTAAAGAGTTACGGGGGGCGGGGAGAGGGAGAGAAAGATGTTTCATCTGCCAATCCAATTCCTGGATGGCCAAAATGGCCAGGGCTGGGCCAGGACAAAGCCAAGAGATAGGAGCTGTCTCCAGGTCTCCCACATGGATGCAGGGGCCCAAACACTTGGCCCATTCTTTGCAGCTTTACCAAGTGCATCAGCAGGAAGCTGGATTGGAAGTGGAGCAGCCAGGACATGAACTGCTGCCCATGTGGGATGCTGCCTTTGTAGGTGGCAGCTTTACCTGCTATGCCGCAATGCTTGCCCCATCACATTCCATAACTTCTAATGTCATTCTTTATGTTAACATGACAGGCTGGCCCTTTTACTTTCTTGATCCTTGAGTCTCTCCTTTAATACAGTGAATGGTTCCTGAATCCCATCAGTCCCGCTGAGTTCAGGGCCCATCCATAAGTCAGAGAGTGGACATAGATGCCACATGGACAGGGATCATGGCAGGTCACACCAGGAGAGGAAGCCACAGCCATGGGCACACAGAGGGATAGTGAATGTTTGCTCAAAGATGAGTGAATGAATGAGAGAAGAATGGAAGCAAGAGAAGCAGTCCTGGGTGGGGTCACAGGGCTCCCAGCACAGAGTGCACCCCAGTCTATCCCACATTAAGCCCCTTCTACTGGGGGGAGAAGGGATGTCACACTGCACCTGCTCCACTCCCCCTCCAATCATACAGAACATTCCTGGGTCAGCAGAAGGATGAGACCCCCCTAGGGAGGGCCTTCCTTGTCCCTGGGCCCCAGAGGACCTCCAAACTGCTGCTACGTGGCTGTTCATGGGCAAAGGTTACAGGGCAAGATTCCCACATCTGTTCTTAGGGAGTGCAATGCACAGCTGAACAGGAAAGCCTGGCTGTCTCCCATTTCTCTGATGGGGAAACTGAGGCTCAGAGTCTTGTCTGGGGTCAGCATCTGGAATGAGAATGGGCATGACTGTGACTGTCTCTCTCATTCTGTACCCTGAACTCAAGGCCCTGCTGAGGTCTCCATGGGACTCGGGGTCCCAGCGTCCTTCAGGGGCTGCACCCTCCTGGCCTGCAGCCTTCTGAGAAGTCAGGAGTTAGAGGCACCCCCTTCTCAGGCTGTGTGTCCATCCTGCTCTGGCCCTCAGCTCTCTTGGTATGGGAACAGCCCATGCATGTCAGGACCAGGAGTTCCGGGAACTGCAGGCCACAGAAACCTCTCCCAAGGCATCTGGGTGCAGCCTCATTATCAAGGGAGTCCCAGGGTTTATGGCAGTTTCTTGTCTTCAACCTGGCTCTGCTGCTAAGTAGACTGCAGAGAGCAGGGCCTCTAGCCTCCGTGGGGACCTCACACGCCCATGTCACTGAGTGGTCAGGACACAGTGAGAGTCCCACATGAGGACAGAGGCCTGCAGGGGCTCAGCCCCCTCAGCTGTTTATACTCACATCTCCCCACAACAGCCCAGGGCTCTCATCTCTCTGGCCCCTGCCCCCTCTGTCCCCTATGTTGGGACAGCCCGCCTCTTTTGGACCCTACAGTTCATCAGGGAATCAGGGTGCACCACTAGTCATGGTGAGATGACCCTCAGCTCAGCTTCCTGAGGGTGGGCTCCAGCCATTAGACCCCAGGACCTGGAACTAGACATGACCATGAGCTCATGACCTTGTGATGGGGACATCGGCTGTCCTGAGTGGCGTACACTCCACTCTGTGCATTCCCAGTGCCGGGGAGCACAGGTCTCTGGGGCTGTCCAAGCCAAGGCAGCCAAACTAAGCTGTCTGGGACTCTGCAGGGGAGGTGCACCCACTGCCACCCACTCCCTCCAGTTGGCCTGACCTGGGCTCCAGGCTGATGGGTGTTCAGGGTGCACAGGCATCAGGTGATCTGGGACATTTTCCAGAGGGACAGTCATGGGGCCATTGCTGTCACTGGGTGTGATCCAGGCCATTCCCAGGAACAGACACAGGTCAGCATTCCAGTGCCCCAGCTTCCTCCTCCACAGGCATCCCTCAGCCCTAGTGGATCAGCTGAGAAGCCCATTAGAAAATCCCTGTGGCTATAATCTCTTGATGAAATTCATAGCCTTCATACTCCCTCCTAGCTTTCTGTGATGTCCTTGTGTGCCCACAGGCCACACAGTCTGGCTCATGCTGGGGAGGGGAGTCCTCATGTGGGATCAGCACAGCCGTGACCTGGGTGGGGCCTCCCTCTCAGGGGGTTCCTCATCTGCAAATGGGGAGTGACAGCAGTGCCTCCCCATGGCTGAGATACGGGGCCCAGTGCACCTGGCCAGGGGCCCAGAAATCGCAGGAGCTCAGGGAAAGAGCAGTCACTGTCCTTGGGGACATCCTCTGTGTCTCCATCTTCCCAGCCATGACCAACCCATCTTATCTGCACACCAGACAGTCTGGATCACATGGGGTCCTGGACAAGGCTCCCCTGTCTCCTGTGCAGTGAGCAAACCCCTGCTCTGCTTCTTTGCCAGTGACCCATTGTTGAGCACAGGGACAGAGACTGTGACAGCTTCTGTGTGGCCCATGGCTCTGAGGCTGTGCCCTAAGAACCACCTACCCTCTCCCTGTGCACCCCTCATCCCAGAAGCTGGGGGGCTCCCAGTGTGTGCAGGGAGGTGCAGTGCATCGCATTCCCTGTACCAGTGATGGCTGTGGGCCGGGCTGCCATCCCATTTCACAGATGAGGACATTGAGGCTGCAGTGAAAACATCCATTGCAGGTCAGTTCTGTGTGACCTTAGAGCCCACATCTATGACCATGAGGAGGTGCTGCCCCATCCATGACAGTGTCCCCCTGTTCATTGCTTTCCTTGGCCTTCCCATTATTTGCTGCTCTTTGTCCAAAAAGGCAACCCTGGCTCTGCCCCTGGGAGGTGTCAGTGTCGTCTCCAGAGGATCCAGAGCCTTGGCATTGGGGCCACTGTGCAGTGAGAGTGGGGAGGGGAGGGCAGGGCCTGGGGAGTTTGCACAGTGCAAATTGTACATACACACTGGGTAAGGAATTAAATTTTATTATAGTATAGGGACAATAAGGTGGAGAAAAGGAACACAATGGGGAGGAGTAAAGAGAAATACAGGATCACGGGGATGGGGAAGGACAGGTGTGGCACTGGGGCTGAAGCAGAAGGGACTGCAGGAGCTGGGGCTGAGGCCGGGGCCAGTGCTGCGTCTGGTGCACCCTGCTCGATCCCTGGGGATATGGCTGTCCCCTGCGCATCCTTGTGCCAGTGCTCCTCCTTGGAGGGCCAGCACTGCTCCAGCAGGAATGTTGCTTGAAGGTCAGTGGTCTGTTCCGCTCCAGCCGTGAGGTCAGGTGCCGGGCCCGGCCATTGCCTTGCTTCACTTCCAGCACAGGTGGAGCCGTCCTCAGGCCCCACTGTCCCGGCTGTGAGATGGGCATTTATGGAACCCCTGGGCTCTCTCTGGGCAACGGTTACCAACAGTAAGTGACTGAGCGGGACCTCAGGTGGTTTGTGCATGCTGGGGAATGTCTGTGATGGTATCTTCAGAGCTGTGGGCATGTTTGACCTCTGCCCTACCACACAGAGCTCATCAGTTTTAGGCAACTGATACAGGTCTGGGCTGCTGGCGATCCCCAGCCTGCTGTGCTGCTCCAGGGGTGAGGCTGACTTGTCCTGGACCTGGGGGACAAGAGCGAGAATGGCAGGGAAGAGGCAGTCCCAGAGATCCCTCCACAGCCAGCAGCTCTGGGCCTCAGGCTGCCCCCACCTCTGAACTCCAACCTCCCTCCTCCAAGGGTGAAGAGGCCCCGTCCCCCCACACCCAGGGCCCATGAGGTCCCAGTGGTGTCCTGGCCAGCAGAGACCTGCCCTGGCTACCAGACTCACCCTGGCCTTTTTCTGTTTTAAGCGCCAGGTACGTCGGGGGTGAGGGTTGGCCCAATGTTCCCACCACTGGGCAAGGCGCCCACAGCAGGGTTTCTTGGGGCCTGGGCTTCGGCATCGCGGGATGCAACAAAGGAACATCTTCTTATGAGACTCTTATCCAAGTGAGCTGGCTCAGGCTCAACTCTGGAATGTGGGGGTGGTTGCCGGGGCAGCCAGTTCAATAGGTCATCACCAACATAGTGAGGTCACTTCCTGTGGCTCCTAAGCTCAGCCCCCTCCTCACACAAAATATCCCCAAATTCTCAGTGGGCACTACCTATTCCACTACCCCATGCCATGTGCCCACTGTCCACAGTTGCACCAACACAGGCAGCACCTGCCACAGGGCTGGCCTGGTGGCAGATAGTGTCACCTGGCTCAGACCTGCTCTCTCATCCTTGTACAAGTTTGATCCTGCACAGATCATTGTCCCTCTCTGGACATTCTCAGTCTCTCTTCTTGTCTCTGGGGATCATTCTAGCATCTGCTTGAAGGGATGCCATCAGTTCTGTAGTGCCAAGGAACCCCTAAGCCTGGCATCACCTGTATGATGCAAACACCCTAGATGTGGGAGATCCCAAGAAGGGCTGGACAAGGAATGGGGCATGCTTAGAGTTCTAGGAAAAGGAGGGGCTTCCCTGGCCTCTCCTGCCACATCTTAGGCACTCCATAGGTCTGGCTGTGGCATAACAGGAAATCTGATTCTCATGCCATGGTTGTCCTTTCCCTCTCTCTCTCTCTCTCTCTCTCTCTCTCTCTCTCTAAGTTTATTTGAAAGAGAGGGAGAGGGAGAGACACAGAGCATTGTGTTACATCTGCTGGTTCACCCCTCCCCCATAAAAGGTTGTCATTCCAAAGTGAGCCTGGCAGAACTCCATCTGCATCTCTCCCATGGGTTGCAGGAGCCCACATATGGGGACAGTTTTCCACTGCTTTCCCAGTTGTCTGAGCAGAGAGCTGGGATGGAAGTGGGGAACCAGTGCTCAAACTTACACTGAGGTATGGGATGCTGGAGTTGCAGGTGATGACTTAACCTGCTGTTCCATGACACAGGCCCCAGGGAGACGATTTTACCTCCCCATTTTTCTCTTACTCCTCACAAGTTTGTAATGCTCTTCTTTATGCTCCTTCTGCTAGAGGCTGAGCTATAGCCAACACTCCAGCAATGACAATGGTGACCTACGTGGGATGGTTCCTAGCCTAGGGTTGGGGTTCTGGGAACTGGGAGTTCAGCAGTTGGCAGTGTCAGATTAAAGAATGCCAGGCAGCTTGTGGGTAACACTTGCTGCATCCTGGGTCAAGATGTCCATCACCAAGATCTGAGCAATGGTGGCAGCAGCACATCCAGAAGCACTTACTCTTGGGGACACTTACTCCACCCTGTGCCACTCAGGTGTGGCTTGGGACCTGGCCATCCTGAGTTGCTGATGCAGAGAGCTGCGAAGTGCATGGTCACCTGCACTCCTGTTTGTCTAGCATCTTACGGGAATCATGGCTGAGTCATTGGGGCAGCTCTGATAAGTGTCAAATACCCCAGACATGATTACCAAAACCGGAAGTTCAGCAACAGATCACAATTATGGAGGAGAAAGGGACAGCCTTTCCCAGGATGCCAGAATGCTGGTGTCAGGTTCTCCCCCGGGAGACAGAGGAGTGCAAAGCGAGAGGTCTGAGAAAGCCCTGAGCCTGGTCTCTGGATTGCTGGGTCTGACCTTCCCTGCTTCACAGCATGGGGCCACTTTCTTCCGGGTTGGAGACCACTGCCTTCCATAGGTAGAAATTGAGAAGGAATGTCATGGTTCACCGTGGATGACTCTGATGTTGGGTTCACCTTCCCACCACTTGATGTAAGTCTGGGATTTTATTCTTCTTGCTCCCCCAGTCCCTAGAGGCTTTCATGTTTCACCAGTTTTGTGTACCTTCCCACAGGGGGGAGGGTAGAATATCCTTTCCAAGCTGGAATCTGGACTTAAACCATCCCCTATCCGACTCCTGTAACTCTACAGTGGCCTCTACATCCCAAAGAGGATAAGGGGGTGTGTAAGACAGCAGGCTTCCTGGGACCCTGATGCCCAGGAAAGTCAGGTGGTTCTAACAGCTGCTTCCTATCTCAGAGTGTCCAGACAACCTAAACACTATCAGTCTTGAAGCTAATCCTCTTTATTGGTGGACACTGCCTTCTGTGTTTCGTGAGCCATAACATGGAGAACATCAGCATGGGGCCAGAAAGATGTGGACACAGACTACTGGCTTGCTTATTGCTCTTCAGTTTATTCCAGGGACCCCAAGAGGATGAGGGACACTGACACAGGTGGGTGACCCGGAAACCACAAAGTGCCCATCCATATATTAGCAGCTAAGTTAGAGCCTCGCCCATGTGCCTACAGCAAGCAGGAAGGACACTGGTGATGAGTGGCCAAGGTGCCCCCAGACGGGAAGGGCTCAGCTCCCTCAACAGAAGAAGACTGATGGGTTACTGGCTCTGCAGATGGCTTCTCTGGATAAAATCCAAATCCCCTGTGGAGCCTCTGGCTATCCTAGAGGTAGAAGAGGACAAGCTAGAGAGATAGAGATGGACACTGGAGTCACAAAATAAGCTATTAAAGGAGTTTCAGTGACAGGAAACACAGCGACGGGTGGAAGCTCTGCCCTGTAACCCGGTTTTAAGGTTCTGACTCACTGATTTCCTGAGCTTCCCATCCCACCCTTGGGAAGAGACTGGTTATGAAATCAGATGCTTCTGTTTCTAAGCCAGGATGGAGCAGCAGTGGATGTCTAAGTCATTAAAAGCCTTCTCAGGGTGGGATTTGAAGCAGGAGTTTGGACACTGTGGGGGATACGCACATCCTATATGGCGGTGCTTAGGTTCCAGTCCTATCTCTACTTTGATTCTAGCTTCTTATGTATGTACTCCTAGGGAGGCAGTGCATGATGGCTTAACTGGTTGGGTCCCTGCCACCCATGTGTCAGACCTCAATTGAGTGCCCTGCCCCAGTAGTGGGCATTTCAGGAGTGAATCAGCAGATGTGTGATATCTGTCTCTTTCAAATAAATAATGTTTTAAAAAATCTATAGAGGGAAATTTGATATTTGGTCTGCTTATGATCGTCAAAGTGGTAATGGGTAGGTATTGGTTTCAATGATTGCTGGAGTCCCTCAGGTTTTAGGCGTAAGGTTCATATGACTTGCTGCCTGCAGACCCCAATTGTCTGGAAACCATCCAATCAGACCCTAAATACAAACTCAGTTAACCTTTACTAAGAAATTCATGAAAATCGCTTAAAGGTCTTTACCAAGTCTTAACCTGTTACGGCAACCACAAAAAGGAATTAGGATTCAGCCCATGTGAATTATCTATGGAAGGCTCTTTCCCAATTGTGCTGGCCCTTTAACCTGCCAAAGGTGGAAAATGAGAACAAGAAAACACAATGAGGGCAGGTAGTGGCTGCTCTCATCTGGTGTGCAAATAAGACCTACTCTCACCTACACAGGTAGGAAGCCTACCTGCTTGATCGTAAACTGAGCTCCCTTCAGGAGCAGTTTAACCCCATCTGGGCAGGACCACACTTGGCCCTGTTTACCACTGATTGTTCTCCTAAACTACCACACGGGACTCCTTGCAGTCACCACACCTGAGAGCAGAGATGTTCCTTGTCTCTCCTGAACCCCTGCATGGCTCCTTGGAGAGCCCCTGTCAGACCTCAAACTGCTGCTGTATAGGGCCCCACATTGAATGTCAGGTAAGGAAGCCTCTAAATGGCTGCCCTGTTGCCCACAGCCTCTGGGGGCTACACCTGGTGTCTCGACTCCTTTGTTGATCTTGAGTACGAGTCTCACTCCACCAACATGGGCCATGTCTAGGTTCAGCAAGAAGTAATTACAGAAGCATGACTTCCTGCCTTACCCCTCCAGAGTGGGAGTGAAATGTCTCAGGGGGCATCTTGTAGCCAAATGTATAGGATTTGGGGAAGAACTGGAACAGGGCAGGGAGTGTAAACTGCCTAGAGCTTGTTTTCCAGATGTACCCGGAGAGCTGAATTTGTTACACTAAACTGAGAGTAGCTGGGCCACAAGAACCGAGCTTGAGTCTGATCTTGCTGACCTGAGCTAGGCTTTCCTCATAATGCTATCCAGTTCTCCACCAGGGGAGTAGACGGCCGCCATTTTCTGAACACAGAAAGTATGAAGATTTCGCCCAGGCTGAAGCAAGAGGGGCCCTCTGGTCTGTGGCTGGCCTTGGCCATGCCCTTCCCCCTGCTACAGAAGCCCAGGCAGACGATGGAGGCAGTTTCTTCGGGGAACTCCTCCCTCCCACGGTCTACTTTGTCACTAGGTTATGTGGGGACGCCTGAAGCCAGAGGACCCTGACTGCGGACACCCGGACGTGCAGCCCTCCCAGCGGAATGGTCCACAGTCGCGGGGGATGCTGGGAAAACGGAGAGAGGAGGCTGCAGGGCTGGTGGCGTCTTTCCTCCCCGAAGACGCCATTTTGAAACATTTTCCTCATTCAGGCGTCGTTGGAGGTATCCGAAGCTTTCCCCTAAATATTTCTCTATTATTTATAAAGTTTCTAACACAGAAAAAGGGCGGCCACTTCCCCTGCACCCCCTCCCCCACAACAGCGGCCCAACAGCTTGAGAGGGCCGGGGCTGAGGGCCGGGTTCCGGCTCCAGGGCCAAGTTCCCGCGGGCCGCGGCTGCCGCTCGCTTGTCTTCATCCTCCACACCGCGGTAGATGGGGGCCTTTGCACCCCAACCCCGCTTGGGGGATGGAGGACGCAGCCTCCGGGCTCCAGGAGCCGCCGCTGCCCGCGGGGTCCGCCTAACGGTCAGGGGCGAGCAGGCTGAGCCAGCGGCAGCAGCAGACGCCCCCTCGCGGTCGGAAGCTGGCGGCGGGCGCTGGGCGCGGGACCTTTCCGTTAAGTGCGCGTGGAGCGCGGGGTTGCACTCGCGTGACTCCCGGGCGCTCGAGCCTCTGCTGGCATCCCAGACGCCAAAGCCGTCGTAGAACCTTTGAGCCTGCAGTGTCCACGCCTGGCCCCTGTCCCCGGCCCGCGCTGCCCCCATGGGCCACCGGTAAGGTGCTGGCCGACCTGCTGGGGTCTTTCTGCACAGTTGACGTGGGGCCGAGTCGGCTGCCCCTTCCCTCCGGGGATCGCGGGGCCTTCCTCTCTGCGGGCAGGTGTGGACCCCAGTGGGCTGGGAGAGGTGGGGTTCTCAGGTGCAGACCCGAGGCGCTGTCTCTTCTGTGGCCAGGTGTGCAGGGAGGAACAAACGCCAGGCTGGCTGGCTGAGGAAGGGGCTGGGTCAAGAATGATGCCCGGGAGAGGGTGGGGCAGGGGCTGCAGCCTGGATTCCAGAAAATCTCTAGCACCTCTCAGCAGCAGGCAGGATTGGGTGGGCGTTGTCTTTTTTAAGGGAAGAGCTGCTGTTCCTGAAGACACGAAAGACTTGCAAGCAAAAAAAAAAAAAAAAAAAAAAAGTGGCAAGGAGGCTAATGCATGATCTCCGTCAGAACTTCCATTTTACAGGGGGGAAAACCGAGGCCCGGGGATGGAGGTGCTTTGTCTGGCTCCCTCCACTGCAGAGCTGGGAGGATGGGGCCGGTTGGAAGGCCTCCACTCCCTTCCTTTCTGGGCAATGGGCTGTGCTTGGGAAGGGGCTGATTTAGCGTCTTGGAGGCCCACCTGCTCCTCTGGGGCTCCTCAGTGGGAGGGTGGAGGTGAGAGGAGGGGACTGCAGTTGGCCCTTTGTTTTTCTTAAAGCAGTGGTAGACTTGACATTGAGTGCTGGGCCTGTTTGGAATGAAGAGACATGAAGTGTATTTCCCTGTAGACAGGGGAGACAGAAGTCCTTGATGAGCACTGACATGGTGAGCTGACCGCCCTGATCCGCAGTCAGACAATTTCATTCTCTTGGTGGCTCCTGACTGCCCAGGGAGGATGTGGTATTGACAGTGGGCTTGGTGTGGCCCTGGCTGCCCCTCAAGGGTGCGTGTCTTCACCGCAGCTACCTCTTTCCCAGCATCTTAGATTGAGCCCTCCACCTCCCCATTATGTTACCAAGGGATGGCCTCCTCAGTTTGGTATCGTAAATATAAAACTGAACCTTTGGTTCCTTTTTCAAGTTGCTTGGTTTCAAATAGGGACCAGCCCTATGCAAGCCTTCATTTCTAAGAGTGACCTATTTGGTCTTACAGGCTGAGGTCATGTTGGACTTGGCGGAGTGTCCCCAAATTTTGGGCTGCTAGCACCAGACATATTTCCCTTTGTCATCTGGTAGGTATGAATTGGTTCTTAGCTTCTCCAAGTCCTGTGTGAACAAAAGGGTGTGCTCCTCCTATAGGTTCCCGGTTACAACTTGCGGTTTCAATCTCATCTGAGTTGAAGTCCTCACCAGACGTTCGCTAGCTGAGGTGTTGTTGGCAGGACATTTTGCCATCTGTCCAGGTGAGTGGTCTTTTATTTGAGAATGAAAGTGGGGGTGTGAGCATTGTGTTTCGTGGTTGGGACATCAGAGTATCAGAGTGCCTGGGTTTCGTGCCTGTCACCTTCCTGCTAATACAGATCCTGGGGGGTTAAGGCTCAAACGCTTGGGTTACTGCCGCCTGTGGGGAAATCTGGGGTGAGTTCCTGGTTCCTGGCTTCCACCTGGGACGGAAGCAGGTGTGTGGGGGAGTGTATCAGCGGATGAATGAGAAACTGAACTGAAACACATGGAATGTTCCTGTGCTAGAGAATCCATCTAATGGTTTGCAGTGACTCCAGACTTAATGCTGGTGTTTTCTGATTTGCTCATTTCCCTGATGGTTGGTTTTAGACTATGTGCACAGGACAAAGAGAAGATGAACTACAAACTACAAACTCAGTAGCTAGAGGCGGTTTATTCAGAGACAGACCTGAGAAAGGCCCTCTACCAGCGAGGGTTGGGAGCACATTCTGGTAGAGACTAGGGGCTTATCTAGCCTGGGCTACTTTTGGTTCAGGGTGAACAGGGATTAGGCAGAGCTGAGATGGTTTGCTCTGGCCTTTTCAAACTTCTGGAGGATTAGGGCTAATGGCTTAATTCTTGAGATAGTGGTGTGGCTGTAAGATAGCATCACTTCTGCACATGATGTTGCTCAATGTCCGGCATTCTGACTCTAAGGATAGATAGAGAGATGGGTGCTGATATCCTGTTGGCCACTTCCTGCTGATGCAGGGCTGTATGTCCAGATTGACTGGAGAAGAAGAGCAGTCTTGTGATGTTCCTGCGGGATGTCTTGGGATATAGCAGTCGCTCGTTCCTGTGAGCACTTTTGAAATATGGTGATTATATATCATAAGAATAAAGCACCGTGATTATGTGGAAAAAAGGAAGTAGTAGAAAAGTTACCCAGAGTGGAAAAGATGGCCAGAATGAGGCAGTTTTCATCAGGGCCTTGAGGAATTTTACTGTCATAGTTGACACAGGTATGAGCATTCTTGTGCATACCTTCCAGGAGACAGATTAACATATGAAGTCTCTGAGAACCTGAATCCCCAGGCTGATACATCCAGTTTGACTGTGTGCCCAGGAGAGTGGTGTCTGCCACCTGATATGAGGGGTCTTGTTCATGCAGGTAGTCTGCATGAATCCAGGCTGAGCAGAAGATGCGCTCATTTTCATCAGCAGGGAGCCTGGAGGTTAGGTAGAATAGACCTCTCACAGGTTAAAAGTAAGCTTGGGTGAGGCAAAGGAACTCCATTTTGTATTTAGATGGGCTTTCTGAAAAGGAGCCTAATTTTTCCTCAGGCTGTCTCGTATCAGACAATGAGAAGGGGACTTGACCCAAAGGAACAAATACCACATGATATCCCTGATCTGTGATAACTAATAGAGCACCTAGAAGGAAATCTGTGAAAGTGAAATTGACACTTTGAGAAACAATGACTTGAACAGCACTTGTCTTGACTGTTGAGGAATTTTT